AGACTACTTCTTGCTAAAGCAAAATCTGTGTATGCCTGCTTGATCATACATTCACTTCATTTTGTTGTTGCTGTAGTAAAATAAAACATTTTCTTACTATGCAACTAGACAACTAATCTTGGAAACATCTGGGAACACTCGAGTGACATGGAACCGACTTTAAGGACAACCGTTTGTTGATATCTATATCTACGGAATAAACGATGAGATCTAATGGTGTCATGTTTACTTGGAATTGTGGGACTTTGGGTCGATAAATCAGCGTTTCAGTTAATTTCTCGAAACCGGAAGCATCGATATACCGTTCCTAAGGAACCAAATTCCAAAAATTTTCTCAAAAATAAACGATTATTTATTGGGAAAAAATGTTTTTTCTAAAATTGCTTTGCTGAAACTTTCACTTTAAAGTTGCTTTCGTTGTATGAAACACAATCTCATCTACTGCCGCCTTAACCCATTACGGAATGGATTGGTATACATACATATGTATATGTAAGATGGTGTTTTCGGAAGTATCATTTAAGGCGTCTGTCACTGGCGCTTGCTGTCAGCTGTAATTACCAACAAACGAACTTGGAAAAAATATGGCAAAGGCAGAAAAACACTGTCAGCTGCCAATTCTCAGCGACGTGTGCATCGCCACCTATGCCCGTCGTCGGCACGAACGCATAAAAGCATTGTGGAAAATAGAATTTCCAATTGAAATGAGATTTGCATGCAGACAACCATACTTATATGCATTGCGAAATAGTTTTTCTATGACATGACGTTGCCAGTGCATTGCTCTCGGCGTCGCATTGTTTTGACAGATGGATGCCGATCATTGACTCATGCGGCGAGAGCTGAGTGAGTGGTAAACAGCGAAGCCTTAAGATATATATATATTTACCTAAGATTACTTTACTGAACTTATTTTTGTAGTAATTTTTTATAAAGTGGCAGATATCTAAAATTTCTTCTCATATAACTGTTATAAGCAGGAACTAACTCACTTGCAGAATGGCGCAAATTCATCTTCTCCCTGTTGAACTTCTTATGAAAATAATTTATGTGTTTACAAAATTCCTTGTATGCAACCTGCATTTATTGTCCATAACAATTTTCCTTGCTTTTATTATTACCACATTTCGCTTGTTTGTATCTCACTAACTCACTCCAGCTGTACACAGATGGAGCATCAAAGCCACTTCAATAAACATTACAATGCACACGCATGCATACATATGTAACTCCATGACACAGCTGTATCTAAGCGAGCACGCACAATTTTATTACCTAAATGATTTTGACTTGATTTCGTACATACCCTGTAGGAAAAAGAAAACACAGAGCAGAAAGCTGTTGCCCTGAAGAAAACGCTGAAACAGATATAGGCTTTGAAAAGATTGAGACAAAGTTCTTCCAGTTTCTTTCAACATTGTTATGTGAAGTTTGTACTGATAAATATTTCTCTCTTTTTTTTCCGTTCTCTTGATCGGAGAAACACATTTCACTCGCTTTTTCTCTTTTTCTCTCACTCTCTTTGTTTTTACCTGTCAAATTTGAATACAGCTATAATTTTAAATAATTGAAAGAAAAATAAGTTATGTAAAAATTCCCTAAAATTTATTACAGAATTCTCTTTTTCTTTTCTAAAAAAAACTAATCAAAGAAATTAAAGATCAGAAAATAACTGTTATAATTTTTTTTTTCGAATTTGAATTCAGCGATAACTTTAAATAATTTGAAAGTAAAAAAGAAAGTAAAATAAACCTTAATCTCTTCTTATTTTCTGACAAAAAAAAAAAAAAAAAACCATTCAAAGCTAATGCAGATCACAATGTAACTGTCATAATGCTATCAGGTCTTTTGTTCCAAACTAAATGAAAAGGTATGTTCTAAACACAGTACAACAGCGAGAATACTTGTAGATCAAATTCGAAAGAGTTTTTATTGAAGAACTAGTCAACTTTATCAAGCTTGGTATATGAGAGGCTCTGTGCAGAGACACAAAGAAAATCTGCACTGCCTGGATTTCATTTCATACAGTCTATATAATTGCATCGTCTTCACTTGGAGGGTTCCTTCTCTGCTTACATATCTCCGAAAGTTTTGTGGGTGGGGCGAAGTCGTTGGAGAAGCGTACGAATCTAAGAGGAAGGGTAGAAGGTGCAATGTTCTGTTTGAAATTCTCCATCGACTTTAGTTCTAGACTACCAGACCATTGTGGCGTCTTTCAAATCGAGGTGGCTGTAGGTAATAATATTAAGCTTGCTTGCGACATCCATACCCAATTTCATTCCAATGGAAGCGAGTCGACTTTCTGAAGTCATCTTGCGTTTTGGCACTATACCTATGGCACTCTAGCAGGCTCGGCAAGCATTGCTCAACAACTAGAACATATTCGACTGCGTGATCATTCTGGTCTAAGCAAAATCAATCTCGCTGCATTTATACTCGTAGCAGTTCTGTCTGCACAATGTCCAATAGATTTACGCGCGGTGCGTCTAAATATTTTTTCGGACGCTCTTTGCCAATGCTTTATAAAGGAAGGCGATGTGGAATCACCTTGTCACTTTCTAATCCATTGCCCCGGACTGAGTTTAACACATATCGACAATCACGCCATGGACTTACAAAGTTAAATGGTTGGGTCTGATATAAACTGCCTTACGAAATTTTTGGTAAGCTCAAAGAGCTTCGTCTATTTATGAGAATCTGGAGAACGAGTTTACACGTAACACAAAGGTTGAACATATATTCAATTGAGATCCACCGATTAGATTTAATCCTATAACCTAATCTAACCTTACTATGTAAAGTTAGAAATTTTTAGAAGGGTGCTCAAAAGATTCCTTTAACCGTCATATGGTAGAAAAGTCAGGTCGCAAAAGTGCCAGACCAAAAGCGACCGCTCTTAAGCCATCAAAATCACATTTTGTCAACTAGATTAACTTCTCAGATGATTCCAATTTCCGGCTTACGATCTTCGTCAACAAACAAAATTGTCCCTATTGGCGTATGTCAAATCCTCGTCCAAAAATTTATCATTTGGTGCGGTTTATGGCATGGCAGCATCATCGGACCTTATTTTTTTTTTTTTTTTAAATGAGGCAAGGAATGCTTTACCATCAATAGCGAGCGAAATAATACGATGTTAACCGACTTTTTTCTCCAAAATTGCATTGAATCGACGCGGACGATCTCTATATCCAACAAGATGGAAAATGGTTCAGTGAAGTAGCTGAGAAGATTTTGTGCCTCTAGATTATTTACTATAGGGAACTGTTAAAACAAAGTTTCACGCTAATCAAATGCAAGGCTCGAGGATCTCGAAGACACCAACCTCCTTCTTCAAACGAGTGGATATATGCAGATGTAGCTGTGGTAGCCATTTCGCTAACATTTTGTTCCAATCATCCAAATTTATTTCATATGTAGTTTTTATTGTTAGACCCGTAATTTTCGCAAATTTTTAAGGAAATGCGAAAGATTAAAAACTATTAACTCTGACTAAACTCTTAATTATAAATAGATCTGCCAAGAAAGACTGGAAGCTTTCAAGGGACACCCCACTAGTTCACTTCAAACTCTACCGTTTTACCTACCCACTCTCCGATGCTCTATGCGCTACATGTCGTTACGAGATTCCACTATCTCCACTAACGCACCGTGACACCCTGCTGATTCTACGCACTTTATGCTTTATTGGCTTTCCAATTTCGAACAGGAGAACAACAAAAAAAAAGGAGAAAAAAAAAGGAAACTGGCTATGGGGAAAGCAATAAAATTGCGTTCATAAATCGCCCAATCTGTGCAAGTGTGTTTGCTGTTGCTTTTGCCATTGTGTACTTTGGTGCTGAATTTATGGAATAGCGGCGCTTGCAAATACACTTCGTATTACTCGTACACTCGACGGTTGCTTCGAGTGCGTGAGAGTACCCTTACTTATAGTCGGTAACCGAACTGAAGTTGCTTGCGCTTACAATGGAGGCATCTGGATTCGCAGCTAATCAGTGATATTGAAGTAGTAGAGTGCATGAGGTGGGCTTGGGGGTGAAGAATGAAATATAGAGGTGATTGTAGATTGCAGGAAATACTCGGAAGTTTTCGGAAAAAACAGTAGTTTATTATTTAGAACAGTGTGTGAAAGTGTTGCCATTCTATACTTCAGAAGTATTGGCTTCATTCAATGCGATAGAAGTTGCAAAGCTTGAGTGCTTCCATTACTTTTTTGAAGTGTGTTGAGGGGTGGACTATTTTCGCTGACCCAAAGACCGAGGTACAATTCTGGAATCAAAAATGAACTTTTGGAATGGACATCACCATTTGGAGTGTAGATGAACTTTTGATTGGTGTATGTAGATCCGATTTGGAACAAAACGACCGACTACAGGGAATGTTCGAAATATATGTTTTTCTGCAGTCATACTCAGACTGCTGAGTTAGGAAGACCGTTAGGTATCATAGGTCTTAAAAGTAGTAAAAAGGAATTGATTTGAATAGAAAAGAATCAGTTCCTGCGAACTTGTATAACGGTTTCTATTTTTCAAACGAATATTGAGCTAATTCGTCAAGTTTCCATGGGATGTCTCGAGATTCCACAATCACGGTTTCCGAAAGTAGGTTAAGTTAGGTTCGATAGCTGCTTTTCAAGATGGGGAACATAAAAAGAGAACTCCTGCTTGCGATCTTATAAGTCAGCAAAGCACCTTGAGAAAGGTTTTTTAGCCGAAATTGTTTTAGAATTCTTCGAAAACTAAATCTATATCCTCAAGATATAGTTAACTTTCAAGAAATTTCGTAAACTCTAACCTAACAAATGTTTGACAAGACTTCCAACCCCGTTGTGTCTAACTATGACCTCGTAATAATCTTAGCATAAAACTAACTCAAAGCCTTTAAAAGCGATTTAAGCCTTACACATACTCTTAATACTTCAAATTAGCCGCATTTACTTCCAGAACCATTTGCATTCGGCAAAATCAAATAATGAAACATATTCACCTCCTTTCTTTCAGTGAACAACAATTTTTAGAACTCAACGGAACATCGCATAAGCCATCAAAATTCCTTGCTGTAGTATGGATACGAATTCTGTGAGTCCATTGCCACCGCCAGAAGCACCGCTGGCTATGATGGAGGTCGAAAAATCGCCACCAGGGACACCAACAACGAACGATATGCCACCACCACCGGATGAAGAGAAGTAAGTGGAAATAATCAATTATCTAGTTGAAGCTAATAAAATAAGACGCAGATAGTAGTGGGTAAAAGAAAAGCATACGAGTATGTAGTAGAGACGAGACAACTTTGAGATGGGATGGGATATTAATAAAAATCGATACACTCTTCAGAAAGTTAACTTAACGATTTCTTAAATTTATTATTTATGGTTACGTTAGATGGCTGATCAAAGATCGCACATGAACTGCTACATGTAGTCCTTTGTAATGCCAAAAAAGAAGAAGAGGGATGTCTGAAATGATGCTCTCCCAAGTGTTTGAGTCTTGACCTCCCAAACACGGGACAATCAAGAAGGAGGTGTTGAGTTGTTTTCACCTCATCTTCTTCCATACAGCTTCTGCAGATGATGTTTGGTAGGATTCCCAGCCACATTTCGTGGAAGCCAATAGGGCAATGGCCCCTTAAAAGCCCTACCACTAGGGAGAAGAGATCACTAGATCTCTTTCGATCGATCTTGGGCCAAAAGGCTTTTGCTACAGCGCATGAACCAATGATGGCAGATCGCTGTGTAAGCTACCGCGCAGCCCAGCTATTTAGTAGTATAACACCGATCCGCTTCCATTCTAACGATAGCGGTTCAAGGGTGCTTTTCTTGCTAGTTCATCAGCAAGACACCCATAAAAGTCTTATCACAAAGACACCCGAGGCTATTGATAGCCCTGAATGCGCTGTTAATGAGCTCAAGGCTATTAAGGCCGCTCTGCTATTCGAGTGGATTGTTAGTTCCCTAAAGGAGACTACAATCCGGAGCAGAAAGTCTACTGTTACTTCAATGGCTGCAATCTTGACTTGGAAGGCACTGCAATAGTCAGGAAGTCTGAAATTCGAGTTGATAAAGAGCTCCAGACAGTAGATCTCTCTACCTACCTTCTCCCCAAGCTTTGACTCAACCGTGATGAAGCTCACTGCCCCTCGCCTCCAACGGTTTCTTCCCACCCAGAAGTCGCTGGGTATATGGGTAGAGAAGGAGCAAGCCTTTTTCTGCGAATGTTCAATTTATATGGCAGCTATATGTTATAGTGAAAGGAAATTGGTTATTCCGACAGAGGACCAGCTTCTTGCCAAGATAAGGATGGGTGTAAAGCTTCAGATCTATCAAAAACTGAGGGTCTAGCTCGTGTCTATATTGGCGGAGAGACGGACCGTCAGATCGACATGACATCAACTCAGCTCGTCACATTGATATTTTAAATTTATATCTTAATTGATCTATTCCTTAACTATCATTTATTGCTAGATTTTTGCTCATAACTGTATACAATTTGCCCAAGCGAAAATTGTCAAGGTCCATTTGAAAATGTAGCCATTAAATGTGTCTAACCTAAAACACTTTTTTCAACAATTCCCCCTTTCAAAAGACATACATACATACATACATACATACGATAACTACAATATATAATAAATAAAGAATATGCGGGCTTATGCCTTCCCTTAAGTAGCCATACAAATATAGTATATGTATTTTTTTGTATATAAATATGTTTGTACACCGGCCTAGCATTCGCCACTGCTTGGATACTTGAGAATTTCACTTGGCAATTCGGTAACCACTCATTTCCTGAGTTAAATTAAGATAGTTCCTGCGTCGTGTGGAATTTCGCACGGCCAATCAAGTGTTATGCCGCCACACCTACATATTTTCGGCACATATATTTACGTACATATTACAGTTATATCGTAGGCATCCCGTCTCTGTATAATCTGTATATTTACCATACCTTGGCCACTTGCTTTAAGTGCTCTCAAATTGAATTAAGCACATCTCGTACACGTAGCTGGAGACAATGTGGACTCGTAAAGTGTTACTAGCAGCAACGCGAGATTGTTAATCGTGAGCCAGCGACGATCTGGCAATCAGTGCACATTGCTCATTTATTCGATGACTCGTAGTTATATTAACACAATTTTATTTACATTTTTTTTTCTGTCTGTCCGTTGGATAACTAAGCAGATATTTGCTTGATAAACAAAACTGCTCGCTATCGCCGTAACAATATCAGATAATTTGTTTTAATCTACATAAATAGATGCTGTGATATAACCACCTACATTTATTTAATCGGCGGTAGTAGCTGAGTGTGCCGACTGCGTGACTAACACTCGGTGGGTCTTGGGTTCAAACCGCAACAAAGAGTCTAGAGTCTAAGTGATCGAAGCAGTTCTTTCTAATAGTGAACACAGCTCGACAAAAAGTTCATTTAGTAAGCGTATCAGCTATTGATAGGCGACTTAAAAATGATACCGCTCTCCGCATATCCGATAATGACTTCTCTGCCAGAAGTACCGTTGACAGCTCTACGTATATACGCAATTCTTACTTACAGTTTTTAAATATTATCTCTTTCAAACATTGGCTCGGTTATGTCTCAGATGGAACATCGGTTGAGTCCAATTTCCAATGACTTCTTCTAATATATACATAGATCGATAACCCCACCGGCTCACAAACCACACCAAACATTTGTTTATTTTTTCTGGATGAAATGGCAGCACTTTAGTCTCTTCAGGTTGCTCTTTGTCCGTAACACTGGAATTTTAATTTTTATACTCTCGCAACAAAGTTGCTAATGAGAGTATTATAGTTTTGTTCACATAACGGTTGTTTATAGGTCCTAAAACTAAAAGAGTCAGATATAGGGTTATATATACCAAAGTGATCAGGTTGGCGAGCAGAGTTGAAATCCGGATGTCTGTCTGTCCGTCTGTGCGTCCGTCCGTGCAAGCTGTAACTTGAGTAAAAATTGGGATATCATGATGAAACTTGTTACACGTATTTCCTGGCCCCATAAGAAGGTTAAGTTCGAAGATGGGCAAAATCGGCCCACTGCCACGCCCACMAAATGGCGGAAACCGAAAACCTATAAAGTGTCATAACTAAGCCATAAATAAAGATATTAAAATGAAATTTGGCACAAAGGATCGCATTAGGGAGAGGCATATTTGGACGTTTTGGAAATTTGGGCGTGGCCCCGTCCCCTACTAAGTTTTTTGTACATATCTCGGAAACTCCTATAGCTATGTCAACCAAACTCTATAGAGTAGTTTCATTGAGGCATTTCCAAATACAGTTCAAAAATGAAAGAAATCGGATAATAACCACGCCCACCTCTCATACAAAGGTTATGTTGAAAATCACTAAAAGTGCGTTAACCGACTAACAAAAAACGTCAGAAACACTAAATTTTACGGAAGAAATGTCAGAAGGAAGCTGCATCCAGGTTTTTTTTTTTAAATTGAAAATGGGCGTGGCGTCGCCCACTTATGGACCAAAAACCATATGTCAGGAAGTACTCGACCGATTTCAATGAAATTCGGTACATAATAGTTTCTTAACACCCTGATGACATATACGAAATATGGGTGAAATCAGTTCACAACCACGCCTTCTTCCAATATAACGCTATTTTGAATTCCATCTGATGCCTTCTCTGTATAATATATACATTAGGAACCAATGATGATAGCGGAATAAAACCTTACACAAATACGGTATTTGATGCGACAGTATAAAATGTTCGGTGACACCCGAACTTAGCCATACCCTACTTTTTAAGATATCGTTTTGAAATTTTGCAAACGTCATTTCCTCTTCAAGATGCTGCGAATTTGTCGGTTTTACGCTGGAATTTTAAATTTTTTATTTACCCATTGAGCCAGAAATGGATCTCTTCGCTGATATATAGGTCTCTTGCTCTTCCTCTCAAACGCTACAATTTTGCTTGTTTATTCGGTTGGAAAACGTAGGCTCTTCTTGGAGTTTTCCAAAAGCCCACTGAACGAAGCGTATTTCGCTTGGGAAGGTCGAGGCGCTTCAGTTAATGCACAAGCTATTTTTTTAAGTTCTCTACGTAAAATGCGCCAAGTCGTGTCATGAGGAATCGATTCTCCATGGTCTTYGTGTACACTCTTAGGTATTGCTGCTATATTTTCTTCACCGCGTGCTGGACGTGGGCTATTCGATCGACACTTTCACCCCTCTTGAGACGCAGAATTCATTATTGGATCATATTCGAATTGAAAAGTACCTCTACTTGCATCACCCGTTATATACACATTTTTTCTTTACATATCTTTACTTTAATTACTTCTTACTATTATAAATTTTGTGCTATATTTGTTATATGACTGCAAGTTTAGTCAAAGCTTTTTACCTAACTTCTCTGAGTCAGACTGTATTTTATATAGTGATATTGGTATTTTAAATTAGAGATATAACATAGATGCATACAGAGTCGCTATGGTTTAATAGAACATATAGTAAATTGACTGAAATCCATATTATTAAATTTCTATTTTATTTCATCCTTTTGTCTTCGAAGATCAAAATATTTGTACATCATTGTTTCTGAAGACCACGTTTATCAAGGTCAAGATAGAGAAAGCAGAACTAACGGTGCGGCCAATAATATCAATATCATCGGCTATGCCAGCAGCTGTACACTCCTATGGAAGATTGTACCTTCTCTGTTTAGCTTTGCAGTTCATATTTGCTCAAGCAATAGTCACACGATAGGAAGTTTCCTAGTTCGAAAACCCGTTTGGTATCAAACGGCTCTGAGAGGTCCTTCCGGATCCTAACGGATCTTTTGGTGTTGGTCAACATAATCTTACGCAGCTGTATTAGCTTTGTGGGGATACCAAGTTTAGGTATAGCGGCACAGAAGCCGTACTTTTTTGTGCTATCAAAGGCGGCTTTGAAATCGACGAAGAGGTGGCTTATGTCGGTTTTCCTTTCACGAGACTTTTTCAAGATTTGGCGAATGGTCAAAATCTGATCAATAGTAAATTTTCCTTTTCTAAAGCCACACTCTTATCAGTTTATTGACGGTGGGTTTCAGTCTTTCATAGTAGACTACGCTCGATAAGACTTTATGTGCGATATTAAGGAGAAATGACGCAAATTGTTAGTCTCCCTTTTTGTTGGATTGGACAGAGCGTACTTATATTCCAAAGAAGCTG